CCCGTCCGGCGCCGGGCAGCCGCGGGTGGGAGCCGCTCTCTCTCCCTGAGGCCCGCGGGTGGGCAGAGGCGACCCCTGGAAACAACTATGCGGAAAAGACAGCGAGTGGGTGCAACCTGAGCCATGGGGCAGAAGTGGTGGCCATGATAGGCGATGAGGCCAGGAAGATGGGTAATTGAAAGTTGTCTCCACTGCTGGAGAGGACTTCACTGGGCTACTGGACAGGGCACCACTTCTGGGTCACAGGCCTGAGATCTCAGCTTTGTGGCTTAGTCTCCATGCGGCCACGGTCAAGTTATTCTGCCTGTTCTGAGATGATTTACGAAGTAAAAATAGCTCCCAAATGTCTGTATTTCAGAGCTGATGGGAAGTTCGCATGCAAAATGAGCGCACTCATTTAATAGTGAATCTTGTAGTTTCAGGAGCCTAGTAGCTACTTTATGAGTGTAGTCTTTTTATCATGAAGTCCCGTGACCCGGGCGGTCTAAAGCCTTTCCCTTTAGCCAGATGTGGGAAGCATGAGAACCGGCCTCTTTGCCACCGCTGATCTAAAATGGCGAGTGTATTGTAAAATGGAGTCTTCCTGTTTTGTTCTTCTTGTTTTTCTTTCTTTCTATTTCCTAATAAGTGTACTTCCTTATTTTAGCAAGTTGCATAAGTGCCTGTGGTTTATCATGCATATCCGTATGTCAAATAAGTAGTGATCACGAGCTGATAATGCCTTTGGGGCTAGAGAAGCATAAGTCATGTGTATCCCATGTAACCAATCAAAGCATGCCCCGTTGCTGTAAGAGATTATATTAGTTGCTGTACTTCCTCTATAGAGAGCCTTCTCCTTTCCTGAGTAAAGCTTCAGAAGAATCCTGAATGTTGCGTGTCTACTTGCTGGCAAGCGGCGCGCGACAGCTGGTGCCGAAACCCGGGAACTCAAGAATTTTTCCAATTGCACCGGAGAAGGACCCTGTGTTACACAGGAGGATTCAGAACTGAGGCGCGTTTCCCACCCGAGAGGTAAGCTACAGATATGGGGTCTTCCTCCTCTTCTCCATTAGCAGAAACCTTGCGCATCCTGGCTCGATCGAGAGGGGTCAAATTATCTTCAGGGATGTTGAATACTTTCATAGAAGGCATTCATCTTCATGAGCCTTGGTTTGAACAAGTGGGATCCTTTAATCATGATCAGTGGCGAGTCCTAGGGACCCAACTGAAGGATAAACGGAATCAAGGTAAGTTGGGACCTGGGGTGTTGCCTGTGTGGAAGATAATTGATGCCTGTTTTGAGAGTAGGGACTGTGTAGAAATGATACAGAAGGGCTGTCAGGTTCTGCAGCAACATCAAGATAGCTTATCAGAAACGGGAAGTGGAAGAGGGGCATGCCATGGATGCCCGGAAGAGACAGAAGGAGCTTATGAGAAGCTCAAGAGAGGACCTCAGAGTCCTTCCCCTGAGACCTGTGGCCAAGGAGCAGGGGGCGCCCCCACAAGAGGCTTATATCCCTCTTTGACGGGGTTAGAGGAGAGATTACAAGGGTTAGAAATCATAGACCTAGAAAGGACACGTAGGCTACAGCAAAAGCAGCCCATTGTAGTCTTAAAAGAGCAAAAAATGCAAGAGCAAACAGCACCGCAACAGATTGAGGAACTATGTAGCAGTTCCTCATCGTCAGAAGCAGAAGAGGAAGTACCAGTAATGGCGCAGTCAAAATTAAAAAAGAGGAACAATGAGAAGCGGAAAGGTTTTCAAATAGTCCCACAGCGCCACCTGCTGTTCCCTCCAGCACGTTCTTTCAACATGATGTTTCATCTCATTTGCACTTGGCTTGCCCAGTGTTTGAGGATGCCAATCAACAGAGGTATCATGCCTCTATTGAATTAGAACAATTGAAGGCCTTAGTGGAAGCGGTAAAAACTTATGGAGTTAATGCCACCTATACCCAAGCTTTAGTGGAAAGAGTGGCGAGCAGCGCTATGACTCCAGCAGATTGGAATTCTCTTGTGAAGGCATGTCTAGGTATGGGGCAATATCTTGATTGGAAATCCCTGTACCATGAAGGTTGCGTATCTCAGGCAAGGGAAAATGCATTACAGGGACAACCTGTTTGGAATTATGACATGCTGGCAGGACAAGGCCAATGGATAGCGAATCAGACAGTGTATCCCCAAATAGTTTATCAGCAGATCAATAAAATAGCTGTCACAGCTTGGAAGCATCTCCCTAACAGGGGAGAAGTATCAGGAAACCTTACAAAAATCATCCAGGGACCAACAGAGCCGTTTGCAGACTTTGCGGCTAGATTGATGGATGCGGCCGCTAAGGTGTTCGGTGATGCCGAGACAGCCATGCCTTTAATTGAGCAGTTAATTTTTGAACAATGCAATAAGGACTGTAGGGCAGCTATCAGGCCCTGGAAGACGAAGGGCATTGATGCATGGATGAAGGCTTGCCGAGAGATAGGAGGGCCGCTCACTAATAGCGGACTAGCGGCAGCTATCTTAACTGCACAAAAGCCTAGTCGCAAACAGTCCCAATCATGTTTTAAGTGTGGGGAAACAGGGCATTTTCAACGCCAATGTACAAAAGGGCCTCGACCAATTCATCCTGGGAGGATGCCTGGTCTGTGCCCACGGTGTAGAAAGGGAAAACATTGGGCGAATGAATGTCGTTCAGTGAAAGATGTGAATGGCCAACTCATAGATGCTAGAGCACCGCATCAAAAAACTTGACGAGGCCCTCGGCCTCAGGGCCCGTCACAAATCTATGGGGCACAACTCCCGTCACCACAGGAGTCTGTCCAACAGAGCCGCTTCGGGCCTACAGAGGAACGGCAGGAGTGGACCTCTGTGCCACCACCCGTGCGGTATTGACACCCATGATGGGATGTCAGCCCATTCCTGTAAATATACAAGGTCCTTTACCATCTAATACTGTAGGATTGATTTTGGGGCGCGCTTCTGTTTTGTTACAAGGCTTGACTATACATCCAGGGGTAATTGATTCAGATTATACAGGAGTATTACATGTGCTCTGTGCCTCCCCGAAAGGTGTTGCTTCCATTTCTCCCGGGGATCGCATAGCGCAGTTATTGCTATTACCTAGTTTACATAACAAATTTCTAAGCAATGATCAAGAAAGAGGGACAAGAGGATTGGGATCATCAGGGAAAGCAAATGTGTTTTTTTCCATAAATCTAAGTGATCGACCTCAATTAGTATTAACCATACAGGGTAAAAGATTCAATGGTGTGCTGGATACTGGAGCAGATACAAGTATTATAGCTCAACAATGGTGGCCACTCGCCTGGCCATTGAAACAGACCTCACAGACTTTACGAGGATTGGGCTATGAGGACTCTCCAAAGATCAGTGCGCAGGAGCTAAAATGGAAAGATCCAGAAGGGAATCAAGGAACATTTACACCTTTTGTCTTGCCTTTGCCAGTCAATCTTTGGGGAAGAGATGTCTTAAAACAATTAGGATGTATATTAACTAATGATTATAATTCCAAGGGAATTAAGTTAATGGAAAGAATGGGTTATCAGGCAGGAAAAGGATTGGGGAAGTACGAACAAGGAATATTGGAACCTTTGGAAGGAAAAATGAAATTAGATAGAGCAGGGCTGGGTTTTATCTAGTGGCCACTGGGGGAGCACGATCCATTCCCTGGCTATCAGAGAAGCCGATATGGGTTCCTCAGTGGCCCCTTGTCTCTGAAAAATTGAAAGCTGCTCATGATCTAGTTGCGGAGCAACTGCATTTAGGACATTTAGAAAAATCTGTTTCTCCTTGGAATACACCAATTTTTGTGATAAAAAAGAAGTCAGGAAAATGGAGATTATTACAGGATTTGAGAGCCATCAATAAGCAAATGCAGGTGATGGGAGGTTTACAAAGAGGACTTCCTTTGTTATCAGCACTACCAAAGGATTGGTTTATTATCGCAATAGATATCACAGATTGTTTTTTCTCCATACCTTTAAATGTTAAAGATAGACCACGCTTTGCATTTACATTACCTGCCATAAATCATGCAGAGCCAGATGCCAGATATCAATGGAAAGTGTTGCCACAAGGTATGGCCAATAGTCCAACATTATGCCAATTGTATGTGGCTAATGCCATTCAACCAATTCGAGACAAATATAAAGAGCTAAAAATTTATCATTATATGGATGATATTCTCCTGTGTGGAGATTCCCAGGAGCAAGTACAGCAAGCTTATTCAGACTTAGAAAGGGCTTTAAGACATGAAGGTTTATTCATATCTCCATCTAGTACAAATGGTTGGGAGATTCAATTTCCTTTCTTGGGACTAAAATAGCCCCTCACAGCATTAAACCACAGAAGATCACAATTAGAACAGCTCAATTATCCACCTTAAATGATTTTCAAAAATTATTAGGAGACATAAATTGGGTTCGTCCATTTTTGAAGTTATCCACTAAGGAGTTGCAGCCT